CCCTAAATGTGCGTAATTTAAAAAAAAAGCACAGGATATCACATGTAAATTATGGAATCACACACATTAAGGGGCTTGCCAGTGTCAGTACATTATTGGTCGTGGCAGTGACCACCGCAGATGCCAGTTCTATGTGTCGTTATCAAAAACTCTCCGTAGATCTAGATCTATCTAGACAGCACACGAGTGAACACAATACATTACGTTTAAGAGCAGCACCCTTCATAGGCAAACCGTCATATCTGTAGCAAAAAAACTGTTTGGAATTGTAGCATTCTTTATATATATAAATATTTACTGCTGACATTTTTTGGACCGATTGAACCATATTGTATACGAACAATCTTTGGTAGGCCTATACTATAATTATAGATCTATATAATATTCTAAATTTGCGGGAAAGGATGTGATTTCAGAGTGTTCGGAGAAATAGTGCCCAGCTTTATTTTCCCGAACGTTCGGAGAAATAGTGCCGGCCTTATTTTAAACCTCCTGCTTTCTTGTAGTAGTTTTGGGTTTTACGGCGCTCGCAACTGCGTAGGTCATATATGAGCGCGCCCCTGCTTTCTAATGTTAATCTAAGGGCCTCTAAGAAGTATGGCTAGACTGGCAGGCTAGCCGTACTTGATGGCTGAGTGAATTGTAAATGAAAATTTTAGTTTGCAAAGCCTAAAAAAGTAGGCCTAGATATCTATTTGTATTTCATTCAAAACCAAAAGGTGCCTTTCTGACTTGCATTATTTAAACCTGAATAATTACTAAATCTAGATTAGATCTGATGAGACCTGTGTACACTCAACAGGTTCGAGTCGATAGGGCCAAACCTAGATCTAGTCTAGATCTAAGTACGGCTATACTACTGGCTGTCTAGCCGTACTTGCTTCGATACTTTTTTTCTATATATATAGATCTAGATCTAGATATATCTAGATCTAAATCTAGATATCTAGATCTAAATCTAGGTCTATATTCTATTTATCTAAATCTAGATCTAGTATTTGCATTATGAACATGAATATGATATATATGGCCTTCTAATTCATTTTTGCTGCAAATCAATAGATTGTAGTTTTACAGTCGAAAAAAAAATTCCTTCTTAGACAGAGGGGAATATAATATATTGAAAGTTCATTTCTTGGTCTACCATTCCCTGTGAAAGTGAGCCTTTGTTTGTCTTGAACACTTAACAGACTGCCATATTGAATGTCCCCAAGAGGACTGAGGAAGTGAATGGGACTGAATTGAGTTTCTGTACTTATTTCGAGCTCTTTGACTTTCAAACTTGTTTGTATTCTGTGAGTATCACCAATTCGGTTTGTTTTCTGTTGCTACCAGTGTGAGTGGTTGGTGGATACTCTGGTGTGATTTTTGCTCCTTCTTTCACATCAAACATCCTTCATCCTTATCTCTTCTCCTTTTTGTTAGAGTTACTCTTTAGTAATGCCTCTAATCTTCGGCTCTTTGTTATATGATCTATTGTGTTGCAAATGCCGCCATCCTACTGAAACTGAAGATAAAAGGTAAAATAAGATACATTTCTATTGTCCAGATCCTGGCACACTGAAACTTTGCTTGGCACTTCTGCAGGCCAGCAACCAAACAACGTATTTTTTCTTTAAAAAATCTTGATCCAGTAATAAAAAACCTTTTCTCTTTGGGCCCTATAATAAAAACGGCTCTTTGGATGCATACTCATGATCAGTAAAATAGATGACTTACAGTAACCTAGTTGGGTGAGGTGCAGACCAAAAGTTTCATATTGTTGTACGATGTTTGTTCCAGCAAAATGGCAGAGAAGCAAAACAATGAGGTGAAGTTGGCAGTGGAGAAATGTCCACTCACTAGCGTTACCGTCTTCAAAGATCGGGCGGAAGTGAGCCGGTCTGTTGAGACTTCTGTCAAAGCTGGCACCAATGAATTGAAGATCACTGGTCTTGTCGATATCGAGCAGGACTCCATCAGGTTTGTGTGCTGGTACTTCTCTTTTTTTATGTGCATTTTGTTTCTGGGCCTCTAAATAATATATATATATATATATACACTTATCTATCTTGTGGTAAACACAAAAGGCACGATTTTTGTGCACTTAGAAATGAGGTTGAGTCAGTTGGAAATGATGCTCCGAATTTCCCTCAAAAGTTTTTACTTTTTTTTCTTTTATATAGCTGACTTTATAAATGGCTCCTTCAACACAATTAAGATCTTTAGGAGGCAGGCTGAGAGGGATACATCCTTTGAGCAGAAAGGCAGAAAGGTTGAGAATACTCAGTAAAACTTATTTCCACTCAAGAGTCTAACCCAGATCTCTTGTGTATAATGGTGCTACAGAACTTTATACCCAAGAAACAAAGTACAGTCAAAATTATCTAGGAGGAAAATGGTGGTCTTAGACGAGTGGACGTCTGGGATAGTTGTCTATAAATAGTAAAAAAATAGAGCAAGAGGGAAATGGTAAGTGGCTGTTTGTACAGGTGATTGTATACTGCCATCATTTTCAAAAATACAGTATGTGGAGTTTTCACAATTTTCACAATTTTACAGGGAGCCAAAAAACTTAATAACAACATTCAGTTTTTGGCTCTCCTGTAAAATGTAAAAACTGCGTATACTATATTTTAAAATTTTTTTATGGCAATATACATGTGGTTGTTGAGGCCGGTTCATCTGTACTTGCTTCTGACGGTCAGGTAACTATTTTGATTCTTCAAAAGCTTTCTTTTCATGGTGAGTCTCCAGTGTATGTTTTACTTTCCATAATTAGGTACTTGTTTTGTGTTAGTCACAAATGTTTTTATCTTGTGGAAGGGAGAAAGGACAGCATCTGTTGGAGTTCAGTGTTAATTTTTCCTCCTTTTTGTGTGTTATGTATGTGTAGAAAAACCACCCAAACAGAAAGATAATTGAACTGAGACGACCAAAGAAACTAATTCATGGAAGATCAATATTTGACACAGCCACTGAACTTGTAGAAAAACACCATCTCCCATGTAACAGAGAAATGTTGAAACCCGTAAGACCAGAACTCCCCCCAAACACCAACATCAAGAAGGCCAACATCAAAACTTCCCTTATAAAGGAGGCAGTGAAAAAGAAATGTGACCCAGTTGAACTGAAGACCACAGCTCTCAAAACAATTGATTCTTACCCTAGAAACTCAATCCATATTATTATGTACACTGATGGGTCAGCCTTCAAGGGAACTATAAATGCTGGCTTTGGGGTAAGAATTGAACATCCTGACAAAACATGTGAAGAACTATTTTATGCTTGTGGTACTTCTTGTACCAATTATGAAGCAGAGGCCATCGCCATTGAAACATTTTCTTTATAATATATCCAGACAAAATCAGGGACATTGTTATCTTCACAGACAGAAAATCAGTACTCCAAGCTTTGGAAAACATGAATTTCGAAAACCCAGCCTGCCCATCTGTGGTTCTAACAATTAGCATCAGCACCTTCTTGCAGACCTATGCCATCAACCTGACTTTGGATACCTGGCCACAGCAACTTCCCAGGAAATGACAGAGCAGACATCCTTGCCAAAAAGGGAGCATCACAAACAATACCAGGGAACAGTGGCTGAATGGATGGGCAATCAAAACTGGAAGAACTGTATTTGCACACATGACTGCTTCCTACTTAAAAGATGCACTAAATTCCCTGAGTAGTAGAGAACAAGTCACAATCTTTTGCCTGCGAACACAACACATCCCACTGAATTCCTACCAAAATAGGATCCGCAAGAATACCCCATCTGACTGCCCGTCGTGTGACTGCCAGGATGAAACAGTATCACACCATCTCTTTACCTGCCCTGCACTTAGCGACCTGCGTAGTACCTACCTACCTACCTGCCTCCCAAGACATCGGAAATACTCTAGTCTATACAACGACAAAACAGCTAATAAAAACTGTAAATTCTTTGCCACATCAACAGGCCGGAGGGCTAGAACTCAGATGGTTGCTGGCTCGTAAAAGTAGAATAAAGTAATAGTGTGCATTCACTGCATGTGTGTTTGTGTGTATATTGTATGCACTGCGTGTTTGTGTGTGTGTATTGTGTATGCCTTGCATGTGTGTGCGTGTGTGTATGTGTGTTGTAGTATGTGTGAGTCGTTAAATGGTCTCAGAATAGTCATTTTGTGCCTTTTGATTTGTCAGTTGAGGGATAATATTTTGCATCATACAGCACATAAAACCTTCCAGGGATTAGGCGCTGTTTAAATTCCCATTATTGTTATCATGATTATAAGTCCAGCCTATTTCTCTCTGATGACCGTCAGGGTGGAAGGCAGGGGCCAAGCCACAATCGCTGAAGTGAGTTTCCAGTTCACATATTGTAATGAAGATGAAGCATCCATGTCAGAGAAGGAGAAGACTTTGACTGAAGAGGTATGTCCCTTGTTCTTCTTGTGTGCACATCCATCTGTCTTTCTGTATCTATGTTGTGGAGTATGTTTTTTTTGGCACTCTACGTCCAGAATTCTCTTTTTTTTTTCTGCGAGTGATTGGCAAGTGCTCTGGTGGTGTTGTTTTCCCCTCCTTTCTTATCAAACTTCTATCATCCTTATCTCTCCTCCTTCTTTTTTGTGACTGTTACTTTCTTGTAACGCCTCTAATCTGTGACACTTTGTGATTTTTGCAAGTGCCGTAACACTCTTACTAAAACAAATTGTCTTTTCCACAAACCCTCACCCTCCAATATTATGTCCACCATTCCTGATTTTTCTGTATGCAATCTTAAATCTTGTACCAGCATGAACTGTTTTACTTTGTATAATATCTGAGGGTCTGAGATGCAAAACCCGCCACTTCCATTTTAGCACTTTTGAGAAAATCACATTTTTTAAAATGCTGCTATATGCACGAACTGATTGCAGAAAGAACAACAGTGAGTGGTAGGGAGCTGGTCTACCATCTAAAAAAATGTATGATGATTAAAATAAAAAATTTGGGGTATGAAAGCAGTAATTTGCCAAAGCCAGCTTATCCCCCCC